TCGTGCAAGTATATCGATGCTTCAAACAAACTAATCGATCAAGCAATCAATCAGTCAATCCCTCAATTCATCAGTGAATTGAAAAAAACAAAAGATCCGCCCATTGGGTGTGAGATTTGTTTTTTCCCCAGGAATTATGGATCTGCTAAAAGATTTGACATGGTTTTTTCATCCTCATTCGATCAAATGTTTTCTTCTGAATCAATTCAAATGGATTTCTAAGGGCCTAGTCATGACAGACTTAGAACAAATTACGAACGGTTTCCGAACCAGAAACTAAAGCAAACATAACTTTAACCCCATTTGGATCATAATTAAACAAACAGAGCGTGTTTTAAGTGCGAGAAGAGACAACTATTCGGGGCAGAAATATCATGAAAACCTGTATGAAGAGCTATATCAACAGGTCACAACCAAACTGTACAGCAAAACAACGTGAGAAGAACTTGGCAGATTGCAGCGCATGCAAAGCGAAAACGAGTATGTAAGGTGGATAGGGAACGGGTTTTGTTCTGAAAAAGGGGGGAGGGGGAATCTGAACTTCAACGGTTAACACATGATACACAGTCTCAAGGTGCATGCACATTTCCTCAAGCATTCTGACTCGGTAAGAAATGACATAAAGAACACAACTGTCATGGGTTCATAGGTACGAACTTTAGCGTATCCCACCAGCAAGTTACAGTCTTTCAGATCCAGTGTGGAAGAAGAGGGATATCTATTCTAATTTATTTCTGTTCACATCATCTGTAACTCCTCTGGTCCGTGTAATACCCGTCCCAACCAGCGAAGCCTACTTATTTGATTTTGGCGCTATAAAGAATTTTCATCCGGATCATACGCTTTCGAACCATTTGACCTGCGTCATCAATATCGACCGTCTAGCTGACGGGTGTCTTCCAAAATCAAACTCAGTGTTTCATTGCAGTAGGGTAGAACTTATCACAAAATGGTACAGTGCATGCAACCTTTAGGCTTAGATAAACAGTCATGTCAACATCAAGTGTTTCTGGTCCGTGTGCACCACTAATCGAGCTTGGCAAGAGTCTGATTGTGCTCCTGACATTCACTACACAAATCGCCAGGCAAGAGAAACCACCCATGTAATGGCTCAATCGCAAATAGCATTTTGGAGAGAGAGAGATAGAAGTGAATTCGACTCAAACGATGGCGGTTACGGGTTCGACACACGAGAAGTGACGTTTACTAAATAGCAACTGACCACGAAAGTAAGCAACCAATCCATAGGACCCATATCCAGTCTATATTGCCCTCGTTCCCGCCCTGGAAGATAGTCAGAAGAAAGAATGGTACAATCATTCCTGACTGGGTTTACCTAGCACACTCTATACTGTTTATCTGATATACACACAGACCAAAGAACGGTGTGTGCGCGTATGTGTATTGAAACAGAAGTATGATTACGGGTTTAGTTGGCGTGGAATCTGTTCAAATCCACGTGTACATAATTGCGGATTTCAGCAACACAGTTGTGACTGCTAGCTGTTCGCGAGTATTCACAAGGATGAGAGCCGACAGAAGAATACGGTATTAAAACGTCCAGCTCGTAGAACTCATCAAAACCAGCAGCAGCAGCATCTCTGACTACAACCATTCGCTCATTAAATGCAATAATTGTAATAAATCAATCTCTATTCAAATAAATCAATGAACGAATGCGAACAATGCAGTGAACAATACTGTGGATCGTTTCTGATTGTGTGGAAGTTTCTTATTTTACAAAACACAACCAACTATGATGATCGTCTAATACGGGGAATGAAGAATAACCTAACCTAGTAGTAGTAGTACGTTCAGAGTGTTTCGAAAAATCGATGCGCCATATTGTAACGGAGAAGGCGAGCTGGCTGGGAAAACGTCTATTGATCCAATTCAAAAACAAACTGTGTCTACGTTCGATCATATACAGTCAATTCTGAACTGCGCGGCGGGATGATTCATGCCTCTTTCTGTGGATCATTCGTTGTTGGTCTTGGTCCGCACTTGGCGCGTACGTTGCCTCTTCTTCCGCGTGCCATTCCGACTGGTTTGACCCGATCGCGGCGCGCGATGCGTTGATCGACAGCTCCGACGTTGTGGCATTCGGTGGGTATCTTTCCCGTTAGCTGCGGATTGTCTTTCGGGCTGTAATTGTCGATTCACTCGTTTCGGGTGGCAGTCAACATTGTCTCGCGAGGCACTTCCCGCCACTGCGTCTGTGCGTCTGGTCGGATGGGCCCCATTCTTGCTTCGGTCGCTAGCCAGGACTCTCTTTGAACTGCCTTCCATCACAATTAGATGTCTTATATAAGTTGCAATTGTGAGAACACAGCGATGTCGGTGCGGGTGAAATCGCCTTGATAAAGGTTACCCACGGTAACCGAAACGTCGGCTTGTTTTCACGTGTACCGACATTGCTGTGTTTTTACAACCGCAACTTATACTATATGACCAAGCAGTTTGAGATAGGGTTTCTACATCAGATGCTTGAGCGTGTCCATGAGTGAAGTGCTCCAGGGAGGTGGATTCGATTAGAGGGAGAGGGCGTTTCTGGTGGCAAAAGAATGACACCATCAATATTCGGGACAAGTAGTAAGCCCATTTTAGTAAATCTCTTCGAGAATGAAATAGCGAAATAATCTAGACAACGAAGTATCGGGAAACCGAACGAACTCCGTATCACTTGATTCGATTTCCTTGAATGTGTGATGTTGCAGTATAGGTTTGAGCATGCATGTTGAGTTTACGGTCTAATGAGCACCAATAACATACGCAGACACAAAGTTGTGTACTTCTGTCCACAAAACGGTTAACAAAGCTGTTCAGTTAATGTAGAATGATTGTAGCTAGGAATGCGGATGTTGGCGTGCTCACCGAACCGGAAGTATTGTTTGCAGACGTTTCGTAGCCAAGGTAGGCAACATCGTCCGCGCCACTTCGAGGAACAACATTTCCATCTCGGAGAACATACCAACTATAACAAAAGCTGTTTTATGCCAGGCACTGAGCAACAAATGCATACTAAGGATTCCTGAAGACGGGACAATGTAGGACCACATCCCTCTTAACCCTAGAAAGACCCTTATGATTGCGATCTCGACGATGATCTGATGAGGTTGATCCTACCCGATACTTTCTCGTGGTGTGTTTCCATCAAGGTGAGAAGACGAAGAGCTCGTTTTCAAGCTATCACCACAGTAAAGAATGAATAGCTAAATCATATAGAAAAACTCCCAAGAAAAAGTGAAGGAACTGGATCCAGCATCCATCGCTCGGGATAATCATCAGTATAGTGACACGAAAGGGTATTCGGAGGAGAGTGAACTGAACTGGGTTAAAGCATGTAGGATCTGACTGACTGATGTACTTGACACCGGTTCCCACCGACTTTCATATTAAGCTGTGGTTATATGAGGACAAGGTAGTCGAAGTAGCACTGCCGAAAATGAACAGCGAAAGTAAAGAATAGTCAGACACGATTTGGTTGACTGAGTATATAAACACCACTGTACACATCTCAACGTACTGGACTGGCATGTGGGACGAAACCGGTATAATATAAACGTACGGAATACATATATACGCACACACGCAAGCACACATTACCTCAGTCAATTCGTAGGACTGGGATGTGAATGGTTGGAGTACCGTTTTTGCCTGACCACGGACGACCGAACTAGTCAACTGGTCAATTCCATTATCCAGCAAGCGTTGCAATTGCTCTGATACGGACTGTTTCAGCTCGTTCAAACAGGCCTATATGCGTGGGACACATACATAAAGAGAGAGAAAGAGAAGGGAAACATTATGACGCTCTGAGTCAGCACAGGCTAACTATAAAGTAATAAGGTGATGTTAACATGGATTCATTCAAGCTAGATTGTTGAGTTCGGATCCACGTTTAGTCAATCGATTTTTGACTAGATTATCCTTGCTTAGGATAGTGTTTATGAGGCAGAGCATGAAACTAAAAAATGGCTTGATGTCACTAATACCGCTTCCAAATACCGAATGAACGCCTCGACTTGATGTGATCATTCGACTGATAGTGTAATTTCCTCAATCTAAAGTGACTACTTGTTAGTAGTCTAATTCTGTTTGTGGGGTAGATATTCCTCAATTAGCACTGACAATCGTTGCCGCTCACTGAGCGAAATGAACAAGAACGTCGATCATTGGAAATGTTCATTCAGTGTAGTTGTCTGTCAGAATCCAGCCGTACTTACCAAAAGTTTGCTCAAATTCACTTCTTTTTGTGCCGATTCGCACAACGTGGACAAATTCCGCTCGAAATGGGAATGCAATTTCTCCAAATTCGTCTGACACGCCTCGATTGTGTTTAATGTGATGAGGAACTGTTGCCGGGCCGCATTACCTGAACCGGAAGCGACAGCGCTCAATCCGCCGACAGAACTCGATGTCGAGGATCCGGTTAATGAAGTTGCACCGGAAACGCCGGATACCACCGGATTCACTGAGACTGTAATATAGATCGGGGTCGGGCGAGAACCGAAAGTGAGACAGGCTTATTAAAACTTATTATCCGGTTGTGTAAAAACAAGTTCCGGGAATAGAGGAATAGAAATTTTCGTACACCTATCAGAACGGCATTTCAGCACCGAAGATTCTTAAATTTTAAACTAATACAGAGAACATCTTTTACGCGTTTATGAAAAGTACTTTCCGTAAAAACAGTAAACTGTCCATTCACAACGAAAGAATGTGGAACTTGATACATCTTGATGAATGGATTTCTCACAGTCAAGAAAGGAATCTGTTGATCTCTTGGAGATTACTTATAGACAATCTTACTGCTGTGAGATGCTACTCACATTTGTGATCAGTACGCATAAAAATGCAGTTGGCGGTTGCTTTCAAATGTTGAAAATGAACTAAACTACTTGGAGCGAATTGTCGTTCCATCAATTAGCCCGTGTGCTGCCCGGAATTGTGATGACATTTTCAAAATTAGATATCTTGTGAAATGTATGCCTAATTATTCTAACTGAAATTCACAACGAACAACTTTCCTCGACCAGGCACCGCCTTGTGGAATTATAACATTACTAATCCACTAATGGTGGTGACTAAGGACTGAACGCCGTCCAGCGGTTGTATATAACCTTCCATATTTTTTTACTGACTACCGTTAGAGATATGGCACTGGAATCAGTTGGATTCAGTTGTGTTCTGGCAACCTATTTGAATGAAGGGGTAGAAGAAGGATAGGAAAGCCGAAAGTAGAGTCGAGGAGAAAGTGGCGGATTCCGGTGGAATAAGGTTGCATCAGGGCCATTGTTTGCGAAACTCAACCATAGCACTCTGTGTCCATA